CTTTTTTTTGTGTGTCCTCTCAGCTGGCTAGCAGTTTAGCTAAGAAGCTTTCATTGTCCCTATAAACAACATCTTCAGCGTAGGTTTTAGTATAAAACGAACTCATTTGAATTCTCCATGAATGATGGTGTAACTGTATCTCCTGGCAACCATCCTCGTGACTGGTGGTGGATTTACATCTCTCTCTCTCTCTACTAATGATCATTTTTATTGACTTGGAAATTGAACTTCCCTGTCATGTGGTTTATTTTTTGCCAGTTGGTAAAATTGACGCATAATAATGCGCTTGTTATTTTCATTGGACACTAGTAACCAGTGTGACGTGTCTAGTCCTTTCTTTGGTGCAGACTAGTGTCCAATGAAAATACCCACTACAGACCTACAGAAGGTCAATCGCGAGCCAGTCCGAATAGCTCAGTGGTAATGTCTCTGACTGCAGGAGGCACTGGGTGACGTGGGTTCGAATCTCAGAAGGGACATTAGTTCCTTCAAGGTTGCAGATATGCCTTTCCGACTGGGGAGTGCCAACTAGCACGAAACCTAGGTCAAGCAAGGCTTCCTTCGGCCGATTGCCTCCAACTAACTAATATTATCAAATATGCTTGTTGATTGCTGATTCGTATGGGTGCCAGGCCCCTGGCAATATTTTTGGTGTTTCCACTGTTTAAAATTTCTACATTCTCCCAATCAAATTCGTGTGTATAACTGTTGTATACATGTATTAATATTTCCGCTGGCTTGGACATGTGCTGCGAATGTCATCCCAGAAGCTTCCGTACAGATCTCTGCTCGCTGACCAGCCCTGGGACGGGATGGAAAAGGCGGAGGGGTGGTCAGTCCATGACGTGGCGTTGAGGGATGAAGGATGTTTGTGTTAGATAAGCATCGGTTGGTGTGTCACGACTCCCTGGTGGCAGTCCGCGAGATAGCTTGAATCGATGGCTCGAAACGTTATCGGATATGGCCAAGAATCGCAGTCATCAGTGGCGAACGTGTTGCAATTTCCTTCTTTCTTACCTTCTCGATGATATCTAACGAATACTGTTTGAACTTGTTAAGCATGACTGTTTTCCTTCCAGATGAAGTTCTTTATCCGTTCTCTATTTATATTTATTTATTTTATTTTTACTTTTGTTTTATTATTATTGTGTGGCGCATCCTTTTTATTGCCATATTGTACCAAGTTTATTTGCGTTTGAATAAGAATAATAAGAAATGAAGGAATAGACAACTAATTTATGATCTTGGATTCGGGTTCGAAGTTGGCAACCATTTTGACCAATCTAGTGTTCATCATAATTCATGCAATTTATTTTCTAGATAGTGTGTTGATCTTACGTCTTATTTTGCTGTTAGGTCTTTTGGTCTGTACAATATTCAGTGACTTGTGTGCTACTGTGGTATGTGCTACTGATATCATTTATCAGTAGTATATAAAGAGACGTTTATCGGCACATAAATATCAAATAGCAGAGAGAGAGAGAGATTTAATGTCAGAGAAGACAAATGATACAGCGTTGTGGAAATACATGGGAGAAGTGAAAAGAACACTAAGAAACACAATATGAGGTCCAGAAATAACACAACACGAAGATCTGTGCGACTGGTGCGTTAAGGATAAAGTAAAACATAATTCTGCTATATACAGATACCAAAATCCATCCTTCTACCGTTTCGCTATGTCTATTTCAAACAGTTTTCATATTCTAACCGTTATTTCAGAGATATGCTTTATATGTAGTGGAATGAGTTTCATTGTGGTTTTCGAGGATAATTTCCAATGGAAGAATGTAGAAATTTTAAACAGAGTAAACACCACAAATATTTCCAGAAAAATTCCTAGAAGCCTGGTAGTACTCAAGTGTATGAACAATTAACAAACACATTAGTATAGATCAAATTTACCAACTAATGAAAAATAAATCACATGACAAAGAGGTTCAAATTCCAGGTCAGTGAAAATGTTAATTAACAACAAATCATGACAATGGTTGTCAGGCGATACAATTACATCATCATTCAAGAAGAGTTAAAACAAGTTCACATTTTATTAAAGCTTACTCTGAAGCCATATCATCTGGTAAATACACTGAAAGCTTCTCAATCAAATCACCACCATTTCAGAGAACACGCATAAATCAAAATCATCCATCTGAGGTATAAATCTCTATTATTTCAAAATCCAAGATTCAAATTGCATTTCGTCCACTTTAAATTAAACAAATTAAAACAGTCTATTAAGTTAATCTTGAGTTGTCAAATCAAAAAATACCTCTCGATTGAGTATGTAATTTTCAAGTATACTTATGTTATCAACCTCATTCAACAGCTGGCTATATGACATTGCCAAGTGTCAGGTGATCCACAACGGAAAACTCGGCGAGGCGTTCGAAATGAATACAGGAGTAAGACAGGGCTGCTTACCTATTATCACCTATGATATTCTTAATTGTGGTGGACTGGATTATGCGTCAGACTGTGGGGAGCGAGGAGTCAGGAATACGCTAGACCACCGATAAGAAGACTCCATCTAGAAGATCTGGATTTCTCAGGTGATATATGTCTAATGTCATATAAACTCGAAGACTACGAGGCAAGCGAAAAGCAAAAAACTGGCCGAAGAGGCTGGCAGTCAGCGATGACAGGACTGCAGGTGAACATAAGGAAGACGGAGGTGATGAAGATACCTACCAACCAACAGCATCACCAACAACAACAACAACCAGCACCAATTACCATTAAACGGAGACATTTAACAGAGGTTACCTCCTTCACTTATCCAGCTAGGAAGCATCGTTTCAACCACAGGCACAAAGAACGGTAAGGCGAGATACACTTTCATCAACCTGAAACCAATATGGGAATCTGCTTCACTCAGCCAACCAGCACAGACAACAAGATTCGGATTCTGTTCAACACAAATTTGAACTCAGTCAGTCAGATAAAGCTTCTATACGGATGAGGAACTTGCACTGCATGACACGAAAAGGATTTCCAATAGACCAGTGTGGACTTTCATCAACAGCTGCTCCTATACTGAAGATCAAGTGGCAGTGGCCAGAAAGAATTAGTAACAAGAGACTCTGGCTGGGGACAAACCAGCCAAGAGCCGATTGGTTATTAAATATGTAGGGTAAAATGGGGATGGATTGATCAGGCATACGTTGAGGAGGCCATCGAACGACATTGCGCGCAACGCATACCATCATTCGCGTGGAATCCCAATGGGAAGCGACGGGTGGATCATCAGTCCGAGGGTGGCATGGGGGAGATCATGAGGGGGGAGGAGATGAGCGATTACAGGCAATCGTTGAGCCAGTTGAAGAGGACAACAGAAAATAAAACAAAGTGGAGATGTCTTGCTGTATGTTCCACTCGGAACCCAAGGGAATAATAATATTAAATAATAATAATAATAACAATCATCCCCATAGTCATTGTGCCACTCTATCTTTTACATAGTTCAACAAATTAAGACTGGTTAATAGTGTTCTTACCATACATAAGCAAAGTAATGGAAAGTAAAAACTAAAGACTGAAGTAATCGATTTGTGAACACAAAGATAAGATTATACAATATAATACACAGATATATGAAATTCCTTTTCTTTTTTGACAGACGACACAGAATGCTTGCTAACCACGAACGTGCTAAGCTTTCGATCATTCCCACTTCATGTGATATAATAAACCACGCCAAGTTTACTAGACGATAAGTAAACTCGGTGAAGAAATCGTAGGGAGGTTGGGCGAGAGTGAGTCTAGCCATCCCGCTTTGCAAGCAGGAAAGAACACCACTGCTTGAAAAAAATTATGTTTGTAAAATCCCAGAGAGATTGAAATGAGTAATTCCAACGTTTCCTGTGTTCGACAATCTGGTCCGAACTTCTTCAGGGAAATTAATCGAAATTAACATAACACAGGTTTATATGTACAAAAAAGAACATTTCTTGTTTTTGAAAAAAAAACTTTGTCCAATCATGATTCACTAAACAAGTGTACCAACAAGTATAATAAACAAAATTGTATGAGCTGTCATCAAAATTTGATCTCGAACTTACAAATATTGATCTACCCTTGTTAAACACTTTAAACAGAATGTGCATGCGTGTGTGAGTAAACAGTTCTAAAAACATTTCTTAACGTCTCCATAAGAAGAATATAGACAGTCAGGAAATTTTGACCATGTATTGTTAATTAGTGATACATATCTATTTTTATTTATTAATCAGGATTTCCTATGCATCAGCTAACATCACACCTTCTTTTCTGTTCAAACTGCTAGTATCTAGAATTTTATGATTAGACGTATTTTCAAAATTACGGTGTTTAGGATTAGAGTTTAGTTGAACAACCCCGTCAAACTTATTACTTTGTCTTCTTTCTGAAGATTGAGCTGCTTTATTCAACCTATTGGAGTTGTCAGGTGACTGGATAGCTACGGATTTAGGATAGTCATTTTGTTGCTTAAGGTTTAAAGTGTTTAACAAGGGTAGATCAATATTTGTAAGTTCGAGATCACATTTTGATGACAGCTCATACAATTTTGTTTATTATACTTGTTGGTACACTTGTTTAGTGAATCATGATTAGACAAAGTTTTTTTTCAAAAACAAGAAATGTTCCTTTTATACATATAAACCTGTGTTATGTTAATTTCGATTAATTTCCCTGAAGAAGTTCGAACTGACCAGATTGTCGAACACAGGAAACGTTGGAATTACTCATTTCAATCTCTCTGGGATTTTACAAATGTCTACTTCTCACTCAGTGCTCAAATATTTTAGAACTATTCTGTCAAACCTTGACGACAGTTCATTTGAACACCACTGCTAATGAGACTTTAAAAAGGCTTGAAGGCGCTTCCCAATCTTCCGTTCTGAACACAAAAGGGATGAAGAAATATCGAAAAGAGGAAAAAAGTAAGAAACAGTTGTATTATTGATTTTCTAACTAGTTGTTGTTCCATGTGTGTTCCAAATATACACAAAAAAGTGACAGTGTGTGTGTGTGTGTGTGTGTGTGTGTGGAGGTGGGTGGGTGGGTGGTTGTGTAGGTGCAGTATATATCTCACATGATTATTTTTTAACTTCCAATAATTTCACTTGATCTGAGTCTCCAGAAGTTTATTGTAACGATCCTCTATAACGAAGAAACAAATAAATAAACAGATATTAACAGAATTCTTTCATGTAGCACGTACACTTACTCTGAACTGCATTAAAACTAAGAATATTCATACCCACACAATTAACTTGCTTGAAGTTCAGACTAGTCGGCTCCACCAAATTGGGTGTGAGGACAGATATTCACCGTTGTGGTATATATGTCACCGATTTGCAGAATATAGAATTCATAGCGGTGGCTGAGTAGTCAGCGAACCTGGGAGATCGATCTCTGGAGTCATGGATGAGTACTGCTGAGAATTCGCAAGCCAACTTCAGAGTCATCTACAGAGTATGCCGAAAACTTGTTAACTCCTGAATAATCCATAGGAGAAATTTTTTCCAGTCATTGAACTTACAATGGGTATTGGTTTATCTCAACATATGATGCATAATTTTTTTAAATTCTACCCACCCACCCCCACCCCCGGTTACATTCCTACCCTTGATCTTGCCGTTCTTTGAATTTTAGTTGAACTCTAATCAACCCAGTCAGTTGTGTTATGTCACTTAATTTACTTACATTCTCCATTATGGGTAAAATTTTATTTTGATAAAATCACAGTGTTATGCAGAAAAATATTTACTGATGACAACGTTTCGAGCACAATTGATCATTGCCACTTATAATCATATCAAGGCACTACTCACACAACTCTGTTGTTTCATTTATATACATGAGTAAAAATTGATGATGATTAGACATGTGACTAAATTCAATATAAGTGCGTCGGTGGCACAGCGGTACAGTGCTCGCCGACCACGCCTCATGTGGTTCGGAGTTCGATCCCGGCCACATACGCACTCCTTTGCCTCTCTAAGTCAGTAATACGACTGGTAAAGAGGGAAGGTTGGGCATGAAGCTAGCAACCCCATCCTGGAAAAGTAATAAACACCACTGCTACCGAAACTTCTGGCCTCTAGCTTGAAGGCACCCCATGTTCCATTGGGAACGTACAGGAGTTCTTTTTAAAAATAGTACCACAGATCTTATCACAAGTAACTGTCTTTTTACTATCATTGGGGTATTTTTACACTTGGCATAACTAAAGGAACTTCTGGTTAGTTAAACAGTAGAACGTAAAGATTAGTCTCCTGTATTCACACCACAAAATACCGGTTTCAGACATCAAAAATTCGTCGAAATCCTGGGGAGTTTTCTAAACCATATGAAGAAATTGATTATTTAATATAAAATTCCCCGGTTGCTACTTCTTCAGAAATTAACAGATAAAACACCCAGTCGATAACTGCTACCTTGACGTGGTTGGCGGTCACAATTGCATATCGAAATGACCCAAAGAACTACACTGATTGAAACTGATGATTCTGTAGGTCCTACCATGCTAGAAAGGTTAATTGAGTTGTAGTTATTGACTAAAAGCAGTTACCAGAATACTGTGAGTCGTTCACAACATTTTTATGGATCCGTGGGAAGTGAAGTGTTTTAGATGACCTGTCTCTTCAGTGTGGATAATTGGGGTTAGTTAAGGTAGACCGCGAGAACTTTATAATCAGACTTACATTGCGGCAGTCTCTTTAGCCGGCAATAAGATTTTAATACGGACAAAGTTCCAAAAATATGCCGTCATGTATGACCGACTTCAAGCAGTTTTCGCCTGGGCTCTGAGATCGAGCAACACGAACGCTCCTTCTGTTGCTTAAGATATCCAAAGAGAAAATCAACTTCTGTGGTATGTAGGCAGCCATCCACACACACACCCTTCCATAAGTACACAAAAATTTCTTGACCATTACTTCACACACCTGTCTTCTCATCAATCAGTGCAGCTAAACATCACATAGCATTATTTGAATGATCGTGACTACGGATCGAGGAAATTAATGACGCGTTCTGCGCTTCACATTTGACTCTCATCAGTTGACTGTACGTGTATTCCCCCAGTGAGTGATACTGTTCCCACCAAAACCCATCATTCCAAAGCTATATGGACTACACAACTGGGAAATTCAAAACAATCATTTCAAAATCAAGTAACCTCCAGGGACAGGAAGTTATTTGAAAACAACTTTGGCTGATGTTGGACTAGCAGTGGGAACCAGGAACGCCAGTTTCATCCATTTTCAAAAAACTCTCCATCTGACTGTAGCAGCATTCTTATTGAGTGTTTACACTGAGATCTCAACTCAAAAACCCATCATCTCAAATCCCAAGTCACTATTCTCTACTAGATCACCAGGGGCCACGAAAGCTACCTCTTGTGAATTTCCCACGAATAGAGACGCAGAATTTCTCTGTTCGATTAAAATTCGCAACTTGTTTTTAGTAAATCAGCATGATTTTAGCGTCAGTTTAAAAAATAACAACCTGAATTGAAACCGTACTAAGTCTTTAGTTCTTTTGTAAGCAAGAAAATACCGATGAGACACGAAGAATGTTTACTGGGATAAACTCACTGTAGGTACATAAATTCGGTATACCATATCTCCAATGAAAAAGAGAAGACGTTCAGCGAAGAGACTCGTTTCGGCGAATCCATTCACATAGCTGTATAATCGCATTTATATATAACTATTTGTGTGTGTGTACATGAGGTTTATCAAGTTTAGATAAATGATCAGGTAATACAAGAATGATCTAATATGGAAACACGGTTAATTAGACAGCAAGATTGAGTTAGTAAGTTAGATGACGTAGTATAATTGACTAAAATGTTTCAACTTAGATCAGGGGAGCAACAGAGGTAGAGACTAAGTAGATGTGGGGTAGAGAATAATCCCATTTAAATTAGAAGTGAAATTGAGCTAATAAGTTGGATGACGTAACATAAATGACTACAGATTGAGCGTTGGTCAAGTCAGTAGCAGTGGTAGTGAGGTGTAGGAACTAAATCTGGTGGGTTTAGAGAACAAGAAAGTTGAAAATGCAAAATATTACAATTGAGAGGACAAAATAATACTAATGAAGACTCAGACAAAAAAAAGATTAGGTAAAATTTACTTGTCGGGTAATAAGATAGATTGAGTCCATTGTAAGTGTAGTGATTGAACGAATTTCTTCTGTATGCACAGTTCACGACTTAGCAAGTGAATTGCCATTGCTTCTGCAGTTTTGACGAAGTCTGATTCGTACACTTTTAGGAAAACTGCTTCGCCTTCTACAGACGACTTTGAAGTTTGTTTGGGGTATAGTTTGGTTTCCGGAATCTATTAGATGTTCTAAGATAGGGCTGCGGGGGCATAGTATTTCTCCTTTGTAAAACCATTTTGGTAATTGTTCGGTGATACGTTTGGAAAGTGAACGCTGGGTACTGCCGACATACCTGGCTCCACATAAGCCAGTGGTGAATTGGTAGGTTCACATTGATAAGGCCAGCAGTGTTAGCTTATCCTTCACGTTCACATGAATCATAGGTTTTGTGGAGAAGATTAGGCGTAGTTCAGCTGCGAAGAAGGCCTTCTTAAGTGAGCGATTTTTTTAGTGTTTCCTTAGACATATATCCATTGAATAAAAGGTTCATGTAGAGTATTTTTTTCGGGACACTAAGCATGGGCGAGTTTCGTGGTCTAGGATTCATAGATTTTGCAATAAATCGTTCTGGATAACAATTCTCGACGAGGATTCTCTTGAGATTGTCCAGTTCATCTTCTATGGTGTCCGGGGTGCAAATTCTGTGGACTCTGTAGCTGAGTGAACGGATCTCCAATGCTTTATATGCACATCGTTTGCAAATTGGTCGAATATATCACCACATCCGATAGCATATTGAATTCTGCACAGTGTTATTAACGTGTCCTTCTCACAGTTCTCTCTTCTTCGATTGCTTTTTCCAGTGCCTCAAAACATACTGTTGCTTTTCTGAATTCGTTAGCTGATATGCTACTTATATCTGATTATAAGTAGCCCTTACCACACTTTCACTATATTTTTTTATTCTTTTGCTCTCCAAGTTGAATCGTAGGGCTTCAATTCTGACGTGTGACGTTTCGGTAACCTCAAGACTAAGCTTTCCTACTTTACTGGGCTTCCCCATCCCCTAGGTGTGTCACAAGAAGATAGAAATCTGAACCAACTGGGAGAATATATTCTATCACTGAACAAGCAACTCATAGATACTTTCAATAGCGTTAAATACACAAAAAGAAACGAAGAATTTAAACACCTACCTAATTGTTTTGTTAACATGTCAATTTCAGACGCTTTCTTCTCCAAATGTTCAATGTCCTGATTGAAATGATCAATTTTCTTCAAAGCATCATGCAGCGAATCAACTTGAAGGAAATTTTAAAAAAAGAAGAAGAAGAAAGAATCAACATAAATTTTAGTGCACAAGTTAAATGGAGTACAAACAGTCAATGAATAAATCGATAAACATATAAGACTTACATCGACTGTTTACATCAGTTAACTTTCTTGTCATATCATTTGTACTTGTAGTTAATTCCATATAACGTTCAGTTGAGGCTTTATTCATACGTGTCAATGTAGTGACATCAGAAAGTAAACCTGAAGAAAATAAACACACAGTAAAATAAAGAATGGAATGTATACTGTAATATTTATAACCTTGATGTCATTTGGCTGATTGGTGAATAAACAGTGGAATCTGGAAGGCGGCATCTCGTTCCATTGTGGCAGAAAGGTGGTTTCATTGGCTTATGCAGAAACATTGGGTTTTCAGTAGATAGGTGTCACTGGTTCGAGTCCCGTTCCTCCACTTACTTCAACCTGTGGACAACTGGGCGGCATCATCAGCCTTCACAAGACAAGTGTGGCTCATAGGATGGTGCATAACCACAACAGACACTTCGTCCCATTTAGGACTCATTGGTGGGAACGCTATGACTCAGTGAGGATACGGGTACATCAAGCTATATAAGCTTCTTCGTCTTATGATAGATTAAACCAGGAGAACCTATACGACTTGGAAAAGTGCCTTTCATTCCGATTGGTCAAATCACAAACACTACATTTGCAAACACTGAATAACTACCGTATAGTTAATTCGATGTGATTATTCCTGGCAGTGTTTTGTGTAACTTTCTAGGTGGTTTTAAACAGTATTAAAGGTTGGGCTGGACTGTTATATTTGTGTGTGTGTGTGTTCACACACTTGGTAGAGAATGAAATTATTGCCCAGTATAGTCTACTGCTTGAATGAAACTGCGGACCGCTCTTCTCTGCCAACTAATTTTTTGCAATCTGAGAGGTATGACAGCAGGCAATACATTAAAAAGGACCGACTTCCAGCTGCTACGCTCCATCTACCACAAAAAGGAAGACAAAAGACAGAAATTGAGAACCATTTGGAGCCATATCACAAATTTTCTCTAGCCATTTATTCTTGGAATACCGACGATCCCAACCACGTAGTATTCTGCACTTCCCTACATGGCCAACTCAAACTAATGGTTTGATGTGATCACCACTAGCTCTTTTCCAACATAATCTTATGCCAATTGATATTGATCGATAGACTAGGCATGCATAACAAATTTCCTAACCATCTCAATAGATGTGGCTTCCCAACCTCATCTATTAACTTTTCCTCTTCACCGAACACTCCACGCCTGACCTCAATATTACTCACTCTGTTATACCACTTAACATATATAAGATAGAACACAGACACCTATCTACGACCAAAGACAGCTAACCAGGCTCTTCATGTCTTCCATTTCACAATGGTTACGTCTTACAGTCATATAGGAGGAGGACGGGGCGAACTAGTGCGCAGTACAGCCAGATATTACGTCTATGCCAGAGATGGCGTAAGTTGTATCCACACAGAGATTTCGCCAGCAACCAGTCCATCGGGGCTGATGAAACTTCCCAAATAAGTCAAGTGGTCAGTACGCTCCACCACTTCACTCCAGTCTTGTAACATCAGCTTACACTTGACAGGAATAAACTGTATCCTAAATATTCGAAGATTGTTGTTTAATGTGTTCAGAAGATTCTCCATCCGATGATTAGTATACATAATGTGAATAGGTCGTGTTTTTTAAAAACACAAGTGAAAAGATGACTTCATTATAGAATGATAGGTGACTCTAAACTATACCAGCCCCAACCGAAACTACCTAGTGAACGGACAAATGACCTTGACAATGACAACTTTGACCAATCAGAAGGCTTTATTAAAACGGCGCATAATTTTAATAAATCGTTTATATATAAGTAATGTAATGTTAAAAAAATAGTTACAAAGGATAACATCCTGGTATATCTTCAAAAAATACCTCACTATTTCTCATAGGATTCTTGATACTTATGTTAAACCAAGTCCTGTACATACAATCATCGAGATAACTGTATACCATTGCATTTCTTGATCCATTCACAGATCTGATCCGTTTTTTTTTGAAGTGACTCCAAAAACTTTCGATGGAATTAGTGTGAGTACCATAGAAAGGATTGATGAAACCGTTTGTATGGTTGACGACTTGATGAATATAGCCGATTTGATAACTGACTATAAATGCTTTATTCATATGTATGAATAGTAGTCCCAGGCAGTACCAAGCGCTGGATAATAGGCAATAAAACATCTGCACTGCGATTAGGGATACCCCATTACTTGAGTCAGCCTGATTCATACGCTGTTGCTATTAATGGTCTTTTAAATATCCATTTATGACACATCATTAAGATTTTCGTTAGAGGTAATTTAGACTTTGCGAAAAACGTACCTAAGGAATCTGTAAACTAAAAAAGAACGACATACCTTCTCCAACTGATTTTCTGGTTCGGCACTCATTGCACCGGTAAACAAACCCATAGATGCACCTAGTGTATCTTTGCATATGCATTGGCAATTTTTCGACCTTTCTATCAGTCCGTTCTCCGAACAGTAATCAAAAACGAGATCTGGAGAGAATTTGCATCCATAAGTACGTCTGGATAATACGGAGTCACCTGTTTGGTCGCTCAAGGTCATTTGTCGGTTAGCTAGGTAGTTTCGGTTTGGGGTGCTATAGTTTAAAGTTACCGAATGATTAAGTCCTGTCAGTAAGCTTTTACCATGTTAGACGGTTCCAGACAGTTCAAAAACTCAAGTCTCACTTTAATAAAGTAGCCGAATTGGAAGCAAGTCATGTGTAACAAGTTGGTTTAGTACTTGTAATCAGCTTTCCACCTCAATTTCATCAGGCGAATCCGTGTTAAACCACTAATTTTAACTTAGCAGGCAACCAGATTAACTGCTTCTGAATTACTCCACCTAAAATCGTTGGAATAGTTTAAATATCGTTCTCCATTATACTACCTACCATGCAGACCGTCCTGAATTAACACACGGCTTCCCTGCTTGGTATATATATATGCTTGGATAGCCTAGAAGAACTATTCACTATAGGAAGCTGGTGCCTTCATGTAACCTTTCTTTTGACTATTAACCTACAATTTTTCTTGTAAACTGCTAATACACACCATGATATTCCCCTATCTACTTGAGAGAAAACAAACAAACATTGTGGAGTTGCAATAAGTTCATTTATTTTTAATTGTTCCCTCGGGTTCCGAGTGGAACATAGGATATTAACACACCTTCACTTTATCCTATTTGCTCTCTGCAGTCATTCTATGCCATCCTCGAAGACACACCCGGCTGATCTCTTCTCATTCAGGTTCCACCCTAGGTTATATCTGACGCGCGATGTCACCCAACGGTCTCCTCAGTATGCGTCTGATTCATCTTCATTTTCCTCGACATATTTGTTGAGTAGTAGATCCTTAGTTGGTTCGTTGCCTCCTAGAGTTTCTTGTCGATAACTCTTCTTGACCAGCCACTTGATCTTCAATACGGAGTCGACCTATTGACGAAAGTCTTCAGTAGCCTACTGGAAATGTCTTTTGTGATTCGTGAACCAAATTTCTGACCCATAAAGAAGAACTGATTGACTTAACATCAGCGTTGAACATCCAAATTATGTTGTTTATACTGAGAGCGACTGATTTCCAGACCGATTTTAGAGTGATGAAGGTCCGTGTTGCTTATCTGGTGAAACAATGCCACTTATATAAGCGAAGGAAGTGACCTCTTTCAGATTACTTCCATTGATAGTGATAGGTGCTTGTTGTTGTTGTTCTTGTTGTTGGCTGGTTGGTTATCTTCATAAATCATCAGCAAAGTCAAGATCTTCTAAAGTCTCCTTATCAGTCCAACCTCTATCCGTGCCTTCTCGCTTCCCGCTGCCCACTGTCTTCCCCATCACAATCCAGTTCTCCATAATCATGAACACTATCAGTGATAGTAGGCTGTCTTGTCTTACTCCTGTCTTCATTTTAAAGGCTTCGCCAAGTTTTCCGTCATTCTGAGGTCTCTTTCACCTGAGGCCTGTTCTCCTCCAGTAGAGGTTATGTCGTAGAATTATCTTTGGTCTTTTTTCGTACTCTTCATTCCTCTCTACTAATCTTCTGTTCCATCAAGCCCTTCCCCCCTTTATTAACTTCCACTTGCCCATGGAGAACAATGACCTCATACTCAGTGGTTACTAGCAGGATATTCTTCAAAACAGAGGTCAATCTTATGCATTATGCTGATAACATCTGGTGTTTGATGCAGGGCCTTAGCCTACGCTTTAAAGAATATTAACAGCTAGACAAAATTCAAGCTGCTTTAGTCAGTTATTTACCTGAAATAATGATGAAACCGACGTACTTGCTTCGTACTGTTTGGAATGATTGTTATGGAAAGCCAACAAAATACAAGATGAATTCACTACACGCTAAGACAATCATAATTCAGGCAGATATCTCACAGAAGGAATAACAGTCCTATGTTGACCAAAAAAAAGTCTATGGCTAATTACGATGATGATCTATTTGTGTTCAAATTTGAGTACTAATCAGAAAACTTCAAGTAACACAAAAATAATGTTGATGAAAGTTGAAGCCATCTAGAAATAGCAATCTTGGTCAATCAACTTGAGGTCATGTATTCCCCTTCCTTAACTAACCAAGTTGTTTGTAAAAGGGACCAATCAGTTGTCTCATAAGTAGGTAGACAGATAACCAATGGGTTAACCTTCCTCACGCCTATGTGTATATGTATTAATGCTTCTTTTTGTAGATGTACTTGACCGTGTTCTCGCTTAAGTACAGTGCTAGGGAAATCACCTAGCTGTCATATACATTTTTGGCGTAGACAAGTGACATTCGTCATTACTGTATCTGTCACCAGCTCGGCGTCTGTAAAATATAAAAGTAGAGACAAGGATGTTCGATTCTTTAAACAACTAGCTTAGTCCAGTCTGGACGCCAGGGTGGTCCAGAAATCAATGCTGTTCGCCAGACCTCTCAAACTTCCGCATCAACCTCTCGCTATACCACCGCCTGTTCCTACCTTGACCGTCCATTGTTCCAGTTACGCATGCAATACCAATCGATGTTCAAAGAAGAAACCTCCAACATTTTGCTGGCATTGTGGTGTTAGACATTTCATAAAATCTTGTACGTGTAAACGACACCAATGCCAAGACTGCAGAAATGTTGGACACAAAGTTTTATCCAGCAACATACAAAAGGACCATCCTCGTCACAGATGCCGTTCCCAATCAGCACCTGCCCACCGAAAATCAGTCAGTGTTCAGACTCTATGTCTCCGAGAGGGTGCAACACCTGTGTCTTGACTAAAGAGACGTGTGCCACTTGTTTCATTACCACAAGTTGACGCCAAAATCTCCCATCTCAAACAACAAGATGTTCTCGAACGTGCTATATCTCTTCAAACAGTGATGTGGAGGAGGCCACTAACTACACATGAAACTTCGATACCTAAGCTACCTGTATTTAAGTCGTCAGATACCCCAAAATCTCTCAAAGTTAGAACAACATGAAAACTAACTACGACGGCGTCCACCTTCCGATAAAAAAATCGAGAACCAGCGGTTTCCTACTGGGAATATACTGCTGGACACTTTCGGACTGAAACATAAGGAGGATTCCACGAATGCTTGAGACCTTCCAGTAAACAACAGACAACTCCCTCTCGACATCCGTGTCGTATGTTATTGTTTCGTTTCGTGAATATGCACGACCGGGCTAAGAAGATCCCCTGGCTGTCGCATAACGTTGTCAGAGTGGACGAGAGATATTCGTGATTAACGTGTCTTTCACCAACTCGCCGTCTCTAGTCAACGCTACGTTTTGCAATATATAAAGCCACAAAAACTCCTTATTTGTCCAAGGTGGACATTGCAGTCTTAGACACTAGACTGACAAGAATAAGAGAATTCTAACTTTCGACGTTTACAACCAGACACTAACTGGTGGACATCCAGGTCTTCCTAGAGGAGCTAGAAAACCTTGATTTCAAACCTCTAAACTGTGTACATGGGGCCCTGAATCCGAAAGGATCGATTAACGTATAAGCCCATGTCAGTCACCTGACACTGCTCCACTTCCTTATGAATCAGATTTCAAGTCAAACACTCTGGAGTGTAAGGGGGGTGGCTTAAGACAACCACCTACGTCAGTCTGGGCATCCGGACAGTATCTCAGCCATCGCCCAAACTATCAGATTTTGTATAGTGCATCTTTTCGTCGCCCATAATGTTGCAAGTTTGTGTTTTAGTCATACAGAAAAACAAAAAATGAATGCAAGCGAAACATGCTAATCAATTCATCTTGAATTATACATCGGATGACAAGTATTCCTCCAATCTGATTATTATATGCTGCTTGATTAGCATCCAGTTTCAACTGTCAACCTCATAAAATTATAATAATAATTGTAATAAGAAATCAGACCTACATTCAAAATCATATTCCAGATAATCTCGTACAGCTTCAACAGCTCGACTGATCGCTGAATACCCAGCTGTAGTGGTATGCTTTTCATCAGAGAACTTGTCACTCTTGTCTTGTAATTTATCATTCCCTTGAGATGTCACTTCCATTTTGAAATAGGTGAGATTCCGTTTTTTTAAGCCACAGATTCTACTTTACTCTCTCTCTCTCTCTGTGTGTTTGAGTAATCTGATTATAAGAGTCAGAACTCATTAAGGAATCCAACGTTTATAATCCCGACTGACAGACAATGTTGCCTTACAAAAAAACAGTAGGTGGGCTGAAAAGGAAGAGAAATTAAAAACTCATTTGGGAAATAAAATAAAATAGTGCTTCTATGACTTGAAAATTTAATCTAACATATTACCAGTTACCCGAAAACCTCACCTAGTTAACAAGCTGGCTAGTTTTCTAGCCGGTCCCAAGCCCAGGTAAAGAGGGAGGGGGTTGGGCGCGGGGCTAGCAACCCTACACCACTAAATGTATCAAACCGGCAGAAAAACTTTAACGAACAGAAAATATGTTGAAAATACAAAAACTTCAAACAATAACAATCTTACTCTTCTCTCAAATCGGAGAGGCGAAATGACACAGTAGACTGGTGAAAGCCTTCAGGAAGCCAGTCAGCCAGCCGATGTGTTTTCTCTCGATGAAAGCAAAAATAGGTATAGGGATGTGGAATGTTCGTACAATATATGAAGCTGGGAAGGCTGCGCAGATAGCCAAAGACATGCGAAGATATGGCATAGAAGTACTGAGTATCTGTGAGAGTTAATGGAATGGATGTAGATTGTCAAACTTGTCAACTGAAGAGTCAGTAATCTACTCCGGTCACCCAGATGACAACCACGAGCACATTGAGGCAGTGAGTGGCTATAATGATTTCGTCAGTGGCAGCCAGAGCCCTTATCCAGTGGGAACCAAATTCACCCAGGATCATGACACCAAGATTCAACTCAAAAGAAAGGAAAGTCACAATTATCCAATGCTGCTCATAGTGCTATAAACAACGAGGGACAAGAGAAGAAGGAAGACTTTTACAGACAAATGCAAACAGCAATTGACAACATCCCAAATGGTGATATCAGAATCCTCATGGGAGATATGAATGCCAGCCGAATTGGGAGCAGATATGACAGGAACAGATCTCATAATGGGTCAAGAGGCTCTGGCTCAGAGAAATAAACGAGAACGGAGGACTCTTTGCAAACATTTACGCTTTCAGCGATTTGGTGATGGAAGGCAGTGTGTACAAGTATAAGGATGTACACAAGGCAACACGAATTTCGCCTAATGGACACACCACAAACCAGATAAACTTCATCTCAATACTGCTCAAGGAAATGGATATCCAGCCGGCCTGCTGGACACAAAGTAAAAAAGAGGAGCATATTTGGGCTCAGACCATCATCTAGTACGAGGAACCTTCATCATAGTGAAGCTGAAATCCATGAAAACAACTGGAGACAGGTCACATATCAAGTCCAACATTCAAAAACTAAAGGATAAAACTAAAAGGGATGCCTTCACTACAGATATCAGAGCAAAGTCGGAGACACTACGCGGCATCACCAAGGAGACGGGTGGTTTCAACCAATTCGGCTCCGTGAGCTGCGTAAAACCAAGACCAATGTTGATGAGTTCGGCCTCATACAATCGAGACGGTCATCCAGAGTTTAGACCACTTATATTTGACTGGTCAGCAATCACTACTGGTTGATGAGTGAGTGGTACACAACTGCCCATACCATCCAATCAGTAGCACGGAGTATCGTCACTTATAGTATCAAGCAGATCACATATTGTGATCTTAATAACTTCTATTTCCAATGGAAACTGTGCTGACATTCCGCGCCGATCTGTGTAAACTCAAAATTGTGAATTTGAGAAGAACATTTTTCGCAACAACGCTAAGAGTAGTATTCTCCAGTCGTCCATTGGTCTGTAGAAGCAAGCCTTAAGGACAAGATCTCGCATCTGACCATTCCAATGTGTGTGTGTGTGTGCATATATCAGTTCACTTCTTCTTGTGCAGCCAGATAGCAGTGTATTGATTATCTAAAGGGGTTCAAGAACACTATCACCCATGATTACACAAAGGTAGTAATGACTCTTTAAAAAGTGAGATAACTGAACGCCTTGTCAACACTGATCATCCCATCTCAGCAAAAACACCTCCTTCAAAGTAATCTACATAGTGAAGAACAACCTTTCGAAGGAAATACGTTTTCTTCTGCTTTGTAATCTTGAAGCTCTAGTCATTCAGATAGAGAAACCAGAGGAAATGATTCAACAACTTGCGTTATCACAGTAACGAACAACCTTAGTGATTCCTAATAAACTTGATTTTTATCCGTTTATCTCTTCAATTGTTTATAACTCTTGTATTTCTTTAAAACTCTTACGCAATATGACGCCTCACTTTGTTTCCATGCGCATCCTGATTACAACTCATCCGTTGAATTTATCCATCTTATTATGTAACTCCAACACACTTATTCAACCATGTTTGTGAGAACTCATCACTCTATGTGTTACTAACCAACACTTTCATGAAAAAAAGAGTGGATATAAATGCGATTGTACAAGTAAAGAGGGATCCCAATTAGCCGAAAAGAAATCGTCTTATACGATAAAAAAAAGGTGGTAATGACCAATTGATTCGTCCCATTGTTTGGCTCTACTGGTGCGTTTTTTCACCCCAAAATTAAACATTTTCGTTCAGTTTTCAATTTGTCCAACAATTCATTTTCTTACAGGGGATTTCATCATGAGCTGACATTGGTTAGCGGACTATTGGAAAACCAACACTGGAGTACTAGACAGCTGTTTCGCCAGCCTAGTTTGGGACTCTTCATCAGTACGCACTCACCGGGGATCGAGCCCAGGATTTTCTGGTTACAAGGTTTCTTCTTTTGATGTAGACATGTTCTCTGAGCTAGCTAGCTAGCTACATGGTTTATTTACGAATCTCTCATTGCCCTACCACTAGGCAACATCTTCGAGGCGCATATTTCAATTTGAAGTGAACTTTTAGATTTCTACACGAGATTATTAGTCATCCACTCCCTCATATCGCCACACTGTATACAGACAACTACGGAAATCAATTCGACTGGGACAACGTTCAGATATTAGACAGAGGAAACACTAAGAATGGCAGAGAATTTTTAGAAGTCTGATATTCCAGTGAATCGGTAATTAACAAACACATTAACACGGATAAAATTTACCAATCCATAAAAAGGGAATCTAATAAAAGAAAAAGTCAAACTTCAAGCCAATATATAAGTAGCCTAAAGGGTGTCAAAAAACACTCTCAAAAACAATCAACCACATCCAAGGTAACCCATTAGGAGAGATGACTAATAAACTTATTGTGGAGAAATCTAAAAGTTCACTTCAAATTGAATTATGCGCGCTGCAAATGTTGCCTAGTGGTAGAGCAATGAAAAAAGCTTCACAAATAAATTATTCACCTCAGAGAACACAACTACATCAAAATCATCCACCTGACCTACAAATCTCCTTTCAATTGCATCTTCTTACAACTATGACCACTTTGCATAAGTTATATAAGTGTAACTTTTGAGCATTGTATCAATAATTTTGTGTTTCTATTAACCGAAAATCGTGTAACTCTTGCAAGTGCATTAAAATCTCTCTTGTACATAAACATAATAAACTTTTAGGTAGTAGGCAGCTGAAGAGGAACCGACGAAATAAAAGATGATCTCATCTTATTCTGTAACTATACTGAAGATCAGACGGCCGGACCAGAAAGAATCACCAACAAGAAACTATGGGAACAAACAAAAAAAACAAGAACCAATCGCCGCCCAACAAATATGCAGGAGAAAGTGAAGATGGATTGAACACTCGCGGCTGGGGAGGCCGCTGGGTGACATCGCGGCCACTGCTCGAGTGGAACCAGGCCGAAAGGGAAGCGGCGAGTGGGTCGTGGGTGCAAGGGTGACATGAAGGAGATCGTGTGAAGAGGAGTTGAAGCAGTATGGACTAACATGGATGCAGGTGAAAAGCACAGCAGAAGGCAGAAGCAAGTGGAGACGTGCAGTTGAAGCCCTATGTTCCACTAGGAACCCAAGGGAACAAAAATAATCATAATAATTTTCCACAACAGATAGTAATCAAGTGCCAATTTTAATATTATGAGAAAAGACCGATTCACCGTGTTAAACAGACATTATGCTGAATTACTCCACCGGAAATAATTTTTTTGCAGTTATGAAAACACAAAATTCGTACACTACAGACACCAATAGATGCACCACACAAAATCGCATAGTTTGTGCGACGACTGGAACACGGTTCAAACACCCAGACCGAAACAAGTGGTCGCCTTAAGGAACCGCTCCCCTCCCCCCGCCACATCAGTGACCTGAAATCTGATCCATAAGGCAGTGAAGTAGTGTCAGCAGCTACGTCCCCAAGGTTTCTAATGTTCGAAACAGATTCATAAGTCATTCCAACCTATCAGATTCTGGAGCCCATGCACACACCATAAGTGTGGAATCAGGGCTATCTAATCCTTTTAGGCAGATCTAGATGTTCACAAGTTAGTCCGGCTGTAAACACCAAAAATTTGAATACGCCCTTTCACTTTTGTCAGGAACATCTTCGCTATGTGAAATCAGTGAAAGGGACTTACCTGGCTCTGGTAAGGTATGAATTTGTGGACACATGAAAGCATTTCATTCGGTCGTACCACGTTGTTTACATCGGCTAGGAAGAAAATGACTTCCAAACTCCAATTGTCAATCACCAAGCGCACAGACACACACACATGCACGCATACATAAGAAGATATGATTTCACATGGAAAAATCACCAAAAGAAGAAATCCAAGCTGGATCACTTTATATTTCTATATATCTTCTATAATAACTGAAGTGTTCGAAATTTCCACATAGGAAAGAAAGACGACAACGAAGATAAAAATAAAAGAAACCATAGGATGTATCATCAAATAGAAAATCTGCTCTCTAAAAGTCAATAATACTCCAGCGAATTAAAATTAGTGTTCATTTTATTTTTTTCGATTTAAAAATGATTGAATGCCTTGTTTTGTATCATCGAATTGTAAATTTTGTACCATCGCTTCAGCAGCTAGTGTGTAAGCCTCCATCAATGGCATCGAAGCCTAAAAATCAAGTAAACAGGAAAGAAGAAGTTAGTTAAACAGAAGGCAAATGAGCACAGGAGGAGAGAGGGAGTGGAAAAAATAGAAATTTGAAAAACGTCTTCAAGCTGAGAAGACAGATTTGAGCAACGTTGTTAACAACACCAGCTTCCGGCATCTTTGAGACTACAAAGAACTAGACAGCCCATTACAGTGTAACAACAGAAGGCAAGAGTCAAGCAACAGATCGTTTATAAAGGAAATCAATGCGTATTTATAGATTTTCATGTACGTATTATAGATTATTGTTAGCAGAAAAACACAGTCTTCTGATTGGTGGTTGTTTCTCACAGAAAGTTAACCTTGAATCTCTTTGTGGCTGTTTCTTGAATGTCAGATCATCTATATGTTAACTGTATCCGCCTACGCAAAGCTTTTGTTCTCACTTTTCTCATGACCAACATTGGGGACATAGACATTGATGTAAATTACTGTCCACTAATTTTGACTAACAGCTAGCTCTCACCACACTCGACCCCCAGGCAAAGACTTGCGACTGAAGTTGATTCGATCTTCTTGGTTCTAGGGGCTTTGCTCGTTTGTGTAGCTGTCTGGAATCTCGGCACTCGCTGATGTTCACTTGTTTCGCTTCATTTACCATTGCGATTGTGTCTGCATAACCCCATCTCAACGTGACCATATTTGGTCCTTCCCACTTTGGAAACTGTTTGCCTGACCCTGTTGCACATTCGTCAGTATTTCGCCTCACACCTTCATATGCTGCTTTCTCCAGACCTCCCAGAAGCGTCCCAAGTAGCAGCCTCATCGTTGACAGATCTTGAACACCACTCAACTGCGCAGAAACCTCGAAGTCCTACCCGAAGATCTATATGTCTCCATTAAAGACTGCACGACATAGGCTTTGTATTTGTCGGTAGGCAGGGACACCAAATGTTATGATGCTACCACCTTAATATTTCTCGATAACAATGAGATTGATAAGGAGACGCCGAGTTAGACACAGACGCGCTGATCGCGAATACCATTTGACCACGCCAACACAACATAATACGACACCTACTTGTTGCGCCCAGCCCACTCTACTTCAGTGAGAACACGCAACCACGCAAGCTCAGTAGTCTACTTCAGTGCTAGACACAGCATATCTTACGCAATAATGTATAATTCAAAAAATCACCAAAAATACGTCAATTAGTCTACGATCACATGATCATAGAGCGTTATTTTACGTAAGCCAATTGTGATTAGTTTATTGCCGGAGTGACCTTGGACACTCTATTACTAATAAAAGACAATCCAATATCTATCTGTCTACACAACACTTTTACACAACTCAGAATTTGTGGACTACTTTGTCTTCTATACCATCGAAACTACTACACCTTAGTGAAACGTTGATAAGCATTCAAAGCGTACATTCTAAATATTTATGTCACTAAAGATTCACGTTATTGATGGTCTCACTTTCAGCGAAGTTAACACTGTATATGTATATATTTGAAAATCTGACTATATACAGGAATTTACCTTGATTTCTACTGATACGTCGTAACCAGCGGGACCCAACAAGTCAGGTAAGAGTACAATTACTCGCTGATAACAGTGACCAGCGTTTGCGTTATATTTATGGTGAATTGACAGCAGTTGGAATTCACGGGCTACTGGATCGCGTCCCAATGTCTGAATAAGGTCTACAAGGTCGCCCTGTAATTGCAAGGTATTGGGTTCGAACCCCGGTGGATGGGTACTGCCAAGGGGTGCCAAACTAGAACGAAACAGCTTTAAAGTAGTACCTGGTTTTCTAGTGATCAAACCTGTAAGTCTTTAAAATCGTGTACGGCTGTTAGTGTCAATGTGAAACATGACAACAACCCTACTGCCACCCAATTTCATTGGCCATTACTTTTCCTATACCCGACTTGGTGGACTCTCTCTCTCTCTCTCTCTCTCACGGATCACGACTTTGCATTAAAATTGCAAGACATTCATCCCGTAGTCGGTAACCAGTAAACAATGAAATCAATTTCAAGAGTTTATTACTATTTATTATTATCCTCTTGGGTTCCGGAGTAGAACAAAAGGCTTTAACAGTGTACATATCCACCTTGTCCTGTTCTCTCTCTCTCACTGCAGTCCTCGTCGTCTGGCCCCACGATTACCCATAATATATTATTTCCTTCACACACGACCACCCTTGAAGTGACCCTCAACTCGTTGTTTCCCATTCAAGTTCCACTCGAGGGATTTCCTGATACACAATATCACACGAGGGTGTCCTTAGAGTGTGTCCGTTCTGATATGTAGTCACATGATGTCTACTTTGTTTTGACAGTCTGATATATTTTGCTAAGTGTATATTGATCGATATTCCAGTATAACCCACACAATATGCTTTGTCTGTCCATTAACTAAATAAACAATGTATGAGCTTTTGTCACATGACATTACAACCAATCAGAATCCAATGATGGTAGAGAACAAAACAATTCCAACAGTGGTGTGAACACGGGCAGTAATTTTGCTGGAAATATTACCAATAAGAAAACTTATTATTGTGTGTAAACTATTGAAATATAATTATACTTTATTTGATCTAATCCACAATGCTCAAACTTTTTACTGATATTAGGAAAAGCTACTGTCTATCTTATTGGTTCATGTATATTAGTCATTTTCATATATACTCTTGTATTGTACACTTTCGTACTCTCGTTCACACCTTTCGTACACTACGCACCTTTTCACTCACACTCTTGTGTGCCACTTAATTTCCCTTGTTGGAAAATACACGTATCGTCGTGAACATAGTGGTCTTCTGATATGCCTCCTTCGCGTCAGGACAAATTAACTACTCAGCAGTACCAACCAGTCTGTATGTTATCGTCCGTTATATCTCATTAGCGTATATTTATACTCGGTCACACCCTAATATCGGCAACGACCCCATAACTTATTTGCGACAAGTACACAACATTTATTGGCGACAGGTCCATAACACGCTCCAACTTCACTTTCTTCCGAATATTTGTTGAGCAGTCGGTTATGGATTGGTTGGTTGCCAAAATCTCCTGTCGACAATTATTTCTGGTTATCTAATCTTTTCTATCAAGCCAGTGAAAGCAGCTGTTGATAAACGTCTTCAACAGCCTGTTGAAAATGCCCTTCATGACGAACATCACAATTTTCTGAGCCATAAAGAACTGACTGCCTTAACATTGCTGTTGAAAATCCTAATTTTGTTGTTTATGCTTAGTGCGGTTGATTTCCAGATTGATATCAGAGTGATGAATGTCTACTCTGCCTTTTTGATAGTGGTTTTGACATCTTGATCCGTTCCGTCCTCCTACAGTTGAAACGAAGCTGCCTAGCCAGATAAGTGCAGGAAGTAACGTCTTTCAAATTTCTTCCATTGACAGTGATTAGTGCTTGTTGTTGCTTTTGTTGGTTGGTTGGTTGGTTATCCCCATCACCTTCGTCTTCACTATTTTCATTTGAAGTCCAGTCTTGGCTGCAAGCATCTTCTCGTAACTTGTTGGTTTTGGTATGTGATTCTTCGAATTTATGTGACATTGGACATATTATTTATATATTGTGGCGTGTGCTACTGATCAGATTTATCATGATGAAGTTTCCTGGAGTTCTAGTGAGAAGTCGTGACCAGTGGGGTCAATCCTGATGTCACGTGTGAGGATGGATGTCCCACCTACGACAATGGTTGGGGTGGCGCTAAATCACGAATTGGTAGGAGTTAGAATTCATGAGCTGGTCATTGAATCAAGTCCCAGTGGCTGAATGGTATACGAGCTTGCCGTGTAACCGGAAGGTCCTGGGTTCAAACCCCACTCTGTGGGTGCGTACTGACGATGATTCCTAAACTAGGGTGAAACAGTTGCCTGCCCAGTACTCCCTGGTTGGTTTTCAATGGTTCTCTAACTGACATCAATCCGTGATCAACTCGTAAAAAAAATAGTATATGTATGAAGAGATGTTCTTCGGCATAAAAAACACCAAATAACAGGGAGATAGATTTGATGTCACAGAAAGCAAATGATACAACGTTGTGGAGATACATGGGAGACGTGAAAGGAACACAAAGAAACACAATATAGAGTCCAGAAGTACCACAAAACGAAAGTTCTGTGCCAATGGTGCGTGCGTTGAACATAAGGTGTACATAATTTGGCCACATAGAGATACCACTTTCCAGATAAGCATTCCATAACCAAGTCTTTCGTCTTCTACCGTTACAATATATCTTTGTCCGCCAGAGTCATTCTCTCAGTCTCAGGTCAGTCTTCAATTTGGTTCAATGAGGCAGAAGGTGTTGTTGGAGAATGGTGGTATTCGGTAGTCAATTTGAGATGCCGACGGTGTTCGAAGTCGTTGAACTCACCTGATAATCCACTCTATCACCTGATAAATCAATCAACTAACCTATCAAATGTGAAAATCATTCAGTGACTGACTACACACCACTTTATGCAGAGTGGGGTATCAATCATGACACACTAATGATACAGAATCACACTGTGAGTAATAAAATACACGAAACTAATACTTCAGTAAGCAGGTGTAGGGTACACAAACTCTTGAAAATCATCAGCTGTGCAATCTACACCAGTCACTGTCAATGAACAACAGCAACATCAACAACAAAACAACAACAACAACAAAAACTCACAAGTTATGTAAAACACGAAAAATAACCACCAGCTTACTTGTTTGTGTAGTGTCTCACGACCTAATCGCATAGCATCTTTACTATGCTGTGTAATTTCTTTAGCAAAGTCAATACCAGCTGCATACAGTTTATCGTCGTCAACTACACGATGAACAAGACCCAATTCATAGGCTCTATCAGCACTGATATTTTTACCTGCAAAAGAGATTTATCCAAAAAAAAAACTGACGGAGAAACAACAAAATTAAAATAAACTAGGAGTAACAGATTACTCGACTGCTTGGCAATTAAGTTAATTCTTCTATCCGCCTTATTAATATATGTGTAAAACTTGGGCACTGTGGTAGGTAAGTAATTCCATATTAGTTTTTTTTATTAGATGTATCACACAGTAATGAAAGAGTATCATTCACTGCATGACACAGTTTAGAGCACAATTTATTACTGATCATAATCATGTCATCAATTATAATCACACGACTTCGAAACTTGAGTTTTATAATTTTGCTTGTCCTCTCCTATTTGTCGTCGTGGGGGTAGTAGAATTTCCCAGATATCTGCTTGAACAGGTGATGAATCATTCCTATTACATGTACTTGCAGTTGATTCGATAAACAAAGCTTCTGTTATCAATCTCTCCCTCCAGCCTGTGACATTAGATTTTAAAACTGTCATCTTATCCCATCCGTCCTATTGTATGGTTGTGTGTAACTGCAAGTAGTGAGTGCTACAGCTGAACTATTCTCTAGATTTCTTATCTTATTCAGATCAACTAATCTAGATATAGCTAGGTTTTTATGCTCAGCTAGTCTGACTGCTCCTGTTCTATTACTCTGACCTTAGCAATAAATAGTAACAGCAGTGATAATAATAATGGTAATATTAATGACGAAATGCATGTCAAACATGCGCAAAATAACACCAACAATAAGGAATCTAAGTCATCAGTAGTAATTCCGTACAAGGCAGGAACCTCAGATACCTTACGCAAAATTTTTAACAAGGCGGGCAGGAATAAAAGTGGCTGGAATTTAAACCCACAAACTCAATTAGAAACAAGTCTTGTGGGTTAAAGGATCAGTGCTGTAGAGCCAATAAAACAAAACAATTTAGTATATCTCATACCCTGCTGAAATGATTGTTAGGTTAAATATGTAGGTCAAAGTAGTAGAACAGGTGCAGTCAGATTAGCAGAGCTCAAAAACCTAGCTCTGGTTAGGACATGTGTTACGTATGCCAAGTCATCGCCTCCCTCGACGAGTAATGTTAGCGGATATAGGGTCAGGCTGGAAAAAAGCCAACGGCGGTCAAACAAAAACTTGGCATCAGTCAATGAAATCCACAACAGTTGGTTTAAGCCACGTAGAAAGGTGTAGACTTCCAGGCTGGGGTCCTCGGGACGGTAAAAATCTATGGTTGGAAACAATTGGTGACATGGGTCAAAATCGTTCTCAGTGGCGCAGATGCATCCACTCCCTGTGACTTATGATTTTCAATGAAACTGTTTTGTATTTCTTTATTACTCCTTTGTCTCACACCTCTGCTCACTGTTTCTATTATGCTTTTCTTGTACTTTCTTCTCTTGCTTCGCGTGCTACACGGAATGTGGCGACTTGAACTTCCGCACATTTGTGCAAAGTTCTATGTCGAAAACAGACAGACAGACAGCTAAATCTAGAATGGTTCACCCGAATAAGACAAGAAATCTAGAGAATAGTTCAGCTGTAGGAAGCACTACATACAATTACACACAACTAACCATAAAATAGTACGGATGGGATAAGATGACGGCTTTAAAATATAATGTAACAGGGTGGAGGGAACAGTATTAATAACGGAAGCTTTGTTTATCGAATCAACTGAGAGGGAATACGTGTAATAGGAATGATTCAACACCTGTTCAAGCAGATATCTGGGAAATTCTACTACCCCCACGACGACAAATAGGAGAGGACAAGCAAAATTATAAAACTCAAGTTTTGAAGTCGTGTGATTATAATTGATGACATGATTATGATCAGTAATAAATTGTGTTCTATACCGTGTCATGCAGTGAATGATACTCTTTCATTACTGTGTGATACATCTAATAAATAAATTAATATGGAATTCTATCCCCCTTGTTGATTCAATACATCCGAGCAAAATGTCCGATCTCTGTTGATACATATCAGCACTTAGTACAGACACTTCAACGATATCCAAGGTCTAATAGTAATGTCGTTATTTGTTGGGTATTAGACTAACAATGTAATCCTGGATGTAACCAAGTGTTAAGTTCGAATCCCAGTGGGAACACTATCACTCACTAGGGATTTCAGGTACATCGCGCCAGCTGAGATAAGTCACAAATTATTAGACGAAATGAACAGCCTGGCTAAATTCTATTGCTCATCACCTCCTTGTCCGAATAACAAAATATTAGTGTTATTCTGTATTTGACTGGCTCAGTTTATTTGGGAGATTAATTGTCTTAAAACAACAGCAAACAATGATGTGTTAGTAGTAGTTATCCTAAAAACCACTGGAAAAGGCAATTACCACTAATTTTGTATGATGGATTATATACTACTCACTGATGGACGAGTAGTTGAAAACCATGCACGTCAGCTAGATATGCTTGATAGCAGTTATATCGATAAATGTTTTAAGCACTGAGTGCCCATTGCTGACTACTTATACCAATGAGTAATAATAATAATAATCTAATTTATTCCAAAAACAGTACTTACAATACAGAATGAAATTCTCAGCATTTGTCACAATATTTCACGCTGAGGAGACCGTCGGGTGACATCGTGCATCAGACATAATCTCCAGGGGAACCTGAATGGGAAACGACGAGTCGGACATCACTTCAACGGTGATATGGAAGAGATCATGTGAGAAAGAGATGAGAGACTATGAGCAATGATGAGGCCAGCTAGAGAGGACTGCAGAGACAGAAGAGGACAAGGTGGAGATGTGGTGTTGAGGCCCTATGTTCCACTCGGAACCCAAGGGAATAATAATGATTTATTACTTTTGTTTGATTGGAGGATTTCATCATGAACTGACATCAGTTAGAGAACCATTGGAAAACCAGCATTGGAGTGCTGGACAGCTGTTTCGTCCGCCTAGTTTGGGACTCTTCATCAGTACGCGCCTACTTGGGTTCGAACCCAGGACCTTCTGGTGAGAAGGCGAGATGGCTCGTAGACCATTAAGCCACTGGGACCCTACAAAATCAATGCATGAAAATTGACCTAATGCTCACTAGCGACTAGTCCTTGTTCAGCCAGTGACCTGGGGTTCCAGTGGGAAGCCGTGACCAGTAGGGTGCAGCAGGTTGAAGGTGAGGCAGTAACTCATAGAAGATATTGGCTAGCGGTCACGCTGTGTCGTCAATTGGCAGAAGTTGGAATCATGCGCTGATCATTGGATCGGGTCCAAGTGGCTTAATCGTCTACGAGCTAGCTCGCCTTGTAACCAGAAGGTTCTGGGGTTCGTACTGACGAAGAGTTCCAAACTAGGAGGACGTAACAGCTGTGCAGTACTCCAGTGCTGGTTTTCTAATGGTTCTCTGACTAACGTCGGTTCATAATGAAATCCTCCAACCAATCAAAAAAAAATTCCTAAAAAACGCAATACTAGAAGATTACTATTTTTATCTGCCACATTTCTTGGTGCCTCTATTGTACTAAGTTTATATTTTAATAATTTCAATAATGATAATAATGACAATATATACCTACCAGTTAATAATAATTCATTAGCAGCTCTTAAACCAATCGCTCGAACCAACGGGACACCAGGTGTATTACAGAATAATCCCAATTTAATACCACTAGCTGCAAATATGGCCGATTTAGCTGAAATGGCCAGATCACAAGCAGCAACTAACTGACAACCGGCGGCAACAGCTGGACCATTTACAGCTGCTATCGATGGGACAGGCAATTCAGCTAATTCTTTCATTACCTGTTACAAAAATACACACATAGGTTGAAATAATAGACAGTATTTATATCCAGGTTAGGTGTGGCTGTGTTCTCTGAGCTAGATAGTTTTAATTGAGAAGCCTCCATTGTCTTTCTAGACAGGCAACAACAATTCAGTGAAGACCTCAAATATAAATAAAGTGAACTTATTTGAATTCTCCATGAATAATGATATAATTGTATCCCCTGACAACTCTTGTCGTGATTGGCTAGTAATTTGCATTGGTATCGATTGTTTTAACTGACTTGGAATTCGACCTTTTTGTCATATATTAGTGCGCATGTTGGTTGCAGACTCGTCTGAGTACCAGGTTTCTAGGAATTCTCTCACGTTTGCTTATTGTTTCCACTGTTTAAAATGTTTATATTCCCTTAGTTAAATTAAAGTTCATAATTGTCTACATGCATTGATATGAAAGAATATATGTTGTGTTTATTGACGGCTTGTTTATGTTTTCGGAGTCGGAATCGAAGGGTGGCGTCCATTTTGACAAAAATAGTGCTTTTCACAATTCATGCAATTTCACTTTGTAGATGGTCTTGATATCTTGACTTCTTTTCGTCTGCTTAGTCATTGAATGAAGTGATTGTGTCCGGTTTGTGTACGATATCTATTCTGAATGATTTTATTGCCCTAGCCACCATCTCAGAAACACGCTTTACAAATGCTCAGATGAATTCTCTCGTAGTTTCTGCGCATGCATGGTTCCTTGCTGACAGTTCCATTCAAGTTAAGATATTCTTTTGATGAAATTGTTAAGGTATCCGCTTTTCTCGAAGACAGTTAACCAAAATACTTTTCTCTGTTATTCATCTCAGGACCGGCCGGAGTACTGCAGTGCCTTTTACTTCTTGGCCAACCAAGGTGACAAACACAAGAAGTATAGAGAAATATACACGTATATAGGATGTTAATCCATACAGACAGAATAAATACTCAACTACAATATCAATATTCTAACAGCGCACCAACAAAACTGTGTACAAACGTTATTCATCAAAAGACAGACACAGTGGAGTCTTCTTAATTGAACTACCCAGTTCTGAGAATGCAACCACATCAAAAGAAATAAATGTGTATAAAAGTAAACATATAATAATAATGATCATTATTTCATAAAAAATATGAAGCCAAATAAGTTGACTCATATGTAAAAAAAATATGACGTTATTATTTGTATAATTAAACGGGGAATCAGTAATTATATTATAATTCCCTCGGGTTCCGAGTGGAGCATAGGGGGGGTTCAACAACACATCTCCCCACTTTCTTCAATTTTCTGCCATCCTCCTCATCTGGATCCACGATTGACTATAATCTCTCATCTCTTCCTCAATACGACCTCTTCCATGTCACCCTAGGACAACCCACACTTGTCACTTCCCATTTGGATTCCAATCGACGGCTTGGCTCACGATATTACTCAACGGTTTCCTCACTGTACACCTGACCCATCTCCATATTCTGTTGAATGATCGGTTCTTCCCTGTTGGTTTGTTCCCACAGTTTCTTGTTACTAATTCTTTCTAGCCATTGGATCTGCAGTATGGAGCCAGCGAGAGTAGATGTTTGATGAAAGTCTGCAACAGGCTGTTGGAAATCCTATTCGTGACACGCTGGCCAAGTTTCTGATCCATATAGAAAGACCGACTTCATATTGGTGTTGAAAATCAGAATCTTGTTCTTTTTATGCTGAGTGTAGAAGATTTTCAAACTGGTTTCAGGTTGGTGAAGGCGTATCTGACTGATATCGTCATCCGTTTCGATTACCTGTGGTTGAAACCGTGCTTCCTGGTGCGATGAGTTAAGGAAGTAACCTCTGTTAAATGTCTCCCGTTGACGGTAATTGGTGCAGGTTGTTGTTGATGGTGCTGTTGGTTGGTAGGTATCTTCATCATCTCCGTCTTCTCTATGTTGACCTGCAGTCCTCTTATCGCTGCTAGCCTCTTCAGCCAGTTTGTTGCTTTTCACCTGCCTCTTAGTCTTCGAGTTTGTATGATACTAGACATATATCACCTGAGAAATCCAGATCTTCTAGATGGAGTCTTGTTATTGGTGGTCCAGCGTATTCCTGACTCCTCACTCCCCACAGTCTGACGCATAATCCAGTCCACCACAATTAAGAATATCATAGGTGATAATAGGTAAGCAGCCCTGTCTTACTCCTGTATTCATTTCGAACGCCTCGCCGAGTTTTCCGTTGTGGATCACCTGACACTTGGCAATGCCATATAGCCAGCTGTTAAATGAGGTTGACAAAGACTTGAGGTATGCCGTAGTGTTGAAGTAGTTTCCAAATTACTTCTCGGTCTACACTGTCGAAGGCCTTTTCGAAGTTGATGAAGTTGGGGTAGACAGAGGTTTGACTGCCATTCTGTGCTTTGTTCGATGACGATGAGTATAGTTTCAATTTGATCAGCACATGATTTGCCTTTCCTGAATCTAGCTTGTTCCGGTGGATGAAGTTCCGCATCCAGTAAAACTTATACTCTTTCCAGAATGATGCGACTTAGTATTTTGCTTGGCGTGGACAAGAACCTAAAATAACCGCACGATACATTGTTACCCATGAAGACACCGATAGAAATGATTTCAAAACAATGACTAGAGCTTTAGAACCGCTTACTACATTCAAAGAAGTTTCTATTTTTACTCTATAAGCTCATTTTATTTGCCTAAAAGCTCATCTTTAGTCTGCGTTTTCTCTTCCATACTGATGTTTTACAATGACGTGAACATGGTACACTCGACTGTGATTGAATTCGGCCTGTACCAACACGAAGGACTAGACGCATGACATATTGGTCATTCCCTAACGATGCGTCAGTGTATCTATTACATTCCTACAGGAGATCAACTTTGAGCGCACACAAATCAGTGGCAACATCTTTAACTGCACCACTGGGGGATGCAAATTGGAATCTCACAAGGGACATGAGTTCCTTCAAGGCTGCACATATGCCTTTCTGACGAGTGCCAACAAGCACCATACCTAGGTCAACGGTTTCCTACCGATCGCCTGCAACTATCTACCGGTGGCACAGCGGTTAGGATGCTTGCCGACCATGCACATCGTCCGGGGTCCAACCCCCGGCTGACGCACACCTGATACCAATGGTCGGCCTGCTAAATTTGATCTACTGATATCACATGCTGAAAATTCCATAGCTGTACCAAAAATACTGTGTGAAATCAAGTTATATTAATAAAAAAATTAATTCAGAGTGCATCGAAATGGTGAGACAGCCCTAGCTTGGTGATAACACTACAAACTTGACCGATAGAAATCAGTCAGCACTAATACCAAGGACCAGACCAACTAATGCATATGGTAAACTTGTTATGCAATGGGAGTTACTCCTGAAATTAAGAGCATTCTACCACTTGGTTACTTAGATTCCTCTTTAAGTAAGTTCAGGCTCTTCAATGTGTGTTGATTTTTGATTGTTTTCATTTAATCTGTACATCTCAAGCGTTATTGAGAAACTAAATACTTCTATTTAAACATGATATGAAGACAATGCACTCAACACCGCTGTTTTCAAGCTGTTCTCCATGAAAGCATGATAAAACGATACTTCGTTTCAAGTTTCATCACGGATTGATATTAGCTAGAGGACCACTCAAAACCAGCAGGGAGTACTGTATAGCTGTTTCGTCTTAGTTTGGGTCTCATCAGCAATACGCACCCACTCACCCAATGGCTGAATAATCAAAGAGCTCGCCTTGTAACCGGAAGCTCCCGGATTCAAGCCTTCACGGGCTCAAGGCTGTGTACTTCTGAAGTGTCCCAAACCAAGGAAAAAATGATGTAGAGTACTCCTTAGTTTCCAGGGTTTCTCTAGTTGATGCGCCATTCCGTGATCATATTCGGAATCAATTAATTTCCCTGCTAACCAACACTTGAGAATGGTTTATTTACTTCCATTACAGTCTATTATTACCTAATCAGACTAGTTGTTTTTCTCAGCCTTTATTTATGATGTGTATCTGAGCATTTGTTGGTTTAATCAAGTCGCTTTTTGTTTGGCCTGTATTCACAAATCGCTCCACTTTCTCATATTCGTTAGTGATAGTAATAATGCTATTATTATTATTATTACTGTTCAGTGTGTGGTGAGTAGGAGTGGAATCGAGGATGGGGGGGGCTTCGTACTATTTGGGACTCACCATCTGGATGTACCTTCATTCCCCAGTGGGTGATTGTGTTCCCACAGAGGCTCAGTCCCACTAGCCATCGTTTCAAACAGCGAATTACTACCCACTAGGATACTTGGACCACGTGAGTCACCTCTTGTGCAACGGGTTTCAGTTTTGAGTGATTGGACCAAAATGTTCGGCCTGTGTTGAACAAGTCAGCTAGTCGGACGCTCAACCTGTCATTTCCCAGTGGGGATTCCACTCGAAGACCTGGTCAGCGACATTAATCAACCAAGTGAAATTAAAAATAAGAAGTCATTTTTGCTTTCGGAATGCAAACATACCTATCTACTGGTGCATAATACCAACTATATTCCCTAAATCAAAAGACGGCTGTTTGACTTTAATCAACAGGATTTCTATCAGAGTTTCAATGTAAGTTCAGTGTCATTATTTCAGAAGGTCACACACCCGGCAGTATACACCAGATATTTCCACCATTACCATTCCTAACAGGTTTATTCATGAGTTGATATCACTTAGAGAAAAATTGTGCAAATAGGAGTTACTGAACAGAGGGACTCGTCATCCGTACGCACCCACCGGGGTATCTGAATTCTGTCCTTCGTGTTAAGTGGTATAATAGAGCAATCGAGCAATAGTGAGGTTAGGGATTGGGTGCTAGGGAAAAGTGGGGAAGTCAACCGATGAGATTGTGAGGTTACATGGATAGAGATGGCTAGGACATGTGTCATGCATGCTTTCCTCAATGGGGGCAGTGTTAGCTGACATAGAATGGATCAGATTGTAATGGTGTTTAATGGTGGTCAAGCCAAAAGATGGCATCAGTCCAGGAAATCTTTGACAGTTAGTTTGAGCTAGCGACTTAGGATGTTGTAGACTGTCTGTCTGTCTATCTGTTTTCGACATACAACTTTGCACATATGTGCAGAAGTTCAAGTCGCCACATTCCGTGTAGCACGCGAAGCAAGAGAAGAAAGTACAAGAAAAGCATAATAGAAACAGTGAGCAGAGGTGTGAGACAAAGGAGTAATAAAGAAATACAAAACAGTTTCATTGAAGATCATAAGTCACAGGGAGTGGATGCATCTGCGCCACTGAGAACGGTTTTGAGCCATGTCACCAATTGTTTCCAACCATAGATTTTTACCGTCCCGAGGACCCCAGCCTGGAAGTCTACACCTTCCTACGTGGCTTAGACCAACTGTTGTAGATTTCATTGACTGATGCCAGGTTTTTGTTTGACCGCCGCTAGCTTTTTTCCAGCCTGACCCTATATCCGCTAACATTGCTCGTCGAGGGAGGCGATGGCTTGGCATACGTAACACATGTCCTAACCATCTCAGTCTTTGTAGCTTCACGACTTCGTCGATTGATTTCCCCTGTTTACCTAGAACTCGACGCCTAACCTCAATGTTGCTCACCTTATTATGCCACTTTACACGGGAAATAGAGCGCAGGCACCTATGATCAAAGACAGCTAGTCTTTTCATGTCTTCCACTCTCAAAATCCCATGTTAAAACCAGTCCGCCAATCACACCCAGTCAGGTTCGAACCCAGGACGTTACGGTTACAAGGTGAGCTTGTGGACCATTCAGTCACTGAGACCCAATCCGATGACCCATGAATCCCAACTTCTATCAATTCGTGATATATATATATACATATATATATATATATATGTATATATACATCGGAACTACCACTCAATGTAACCGAAGAGTGACTGTCCTCTCACTTGACTTGGTGGTCCCCACTGGTGCCTACTTTTCACTAGAACTCAATGTAACCTTCTGTAAAGAGCCAGTAACCAGTGAGCATTAGATTAATTTTTAAATGTTGGTTTGCGGGAATTTCACTAGTTACAGGTTTGATCATGAGCTGACGTCAGTCCACCTAATCATTAAGGGACACTGTTTGACGGTAGTGTTATAAATATGCCGAATTCGCTGAAGATAGACAGAATTCACGGGCCGTTGGATAGGGTTCCAGAGGCTGAATGGTCTACGAGCTTGCCTTGAGCCGGGAATTCCTGGGTTCGAACCCCCGTGGGTGCATATCGCTGCAGAGTCCCGAATCAAGACGAAACAGCTGCCTAATTACTACTTTTGCTAGATTATTAGAAAAACAGGTAGCACCTTGACCTGTTTTTAACTTATGTTACATAAATTATCGTATCTATTTAAATTCCATCCTCCCACAAGTTTAAAAGAAAATCTCAACCAATTTAAGCATATGTGCGTCGGTGGCATAGCGGTTAGGACGCTCGCCGGCCATGCACATGGTCCAAGGTTCGACCCCCTGACGACACACCCCTTTACCTCGCTGAACTAGAAATAATGCTGGTAAAGAGGAAAGGTTGGGCATGAGGCTAGCAACCCCATCTTCTAAAACAAACACTGCTACAGAAACTTCAAGCCACTAACTTGAAGCCCTATGTTCCACTGGGGAACGTGAAAGGAGAAAAAATTTAAGGATATAACATCAAAAGTGAGTGAAAAAATATAAACTTACTTTTACTGCCATTGAAAAAACTTCTTTAGGATTAACATCCGGTGATTGAACAATCTCATGAAGATTATGTCCAGCGGAAAAAAATCTTCCCTCACCAGTAATCATTAAAGCTCGAATACTTTTAGATGATTTAACTGACTCCAAGACAGAGAGAAACTCTTTCATTAGAGTTAATGAAAGGGAATTAGCGCTTTTAGGATGATTTAGCGTTAAAATTTGTACTTCATTATCGATTACCTCTGATTTAACATGTGAAGACTATTGAGGTATGATATATATATGTATTATAATACAATTAAACAATTAGATAAGCAAACCGAATATCTCACTGATGAGAAGGGAAGGTAGGATGAATACACCTTTGCTAGTTTAACTCGAAATGCGCAAGGTGAATACATTCTGCTCTGGTTTTATAGTTTAATGATGTCTAAATAAAGTAGAGAAAATATTATAAATGAGTTACAGTATATATTTTTAACCAAAATTTAACAAATTTATGAACATCAGAGAGAAAGAACAAAGAAAACTTGCATAAACTCTGGTTGAGAAAGTTTATAAGGTGGTTAGAAGACCAAGAACCATTCTCCAACTAGCTGCTGCTTAGAAGGAAGTTTATATCGCACTACTCTACATGGGTGATCATAGTAGCTTTGTGACTAGACAAACATTGAACGCTGTGGTTAAAAAAGACTTTTAATGCAACTAACATCCGAATAATTGAGAATGTGAAACCCATATATCTATGTAAGGCCTTAGAACATACGAAAAATGATATCACATCCCATTGTATCTACCAATTTGAATGTGTGTTTAGCTTCAGAAGCAAATGGAATTCCCTAGCCCAATTAGCGATGAGAAGAGAACTTAGCTCTTCAATTGAGAAACATATTATAGAGCCACGACATAAAATTGGTGTTCACACCTTTTTTTAAACCTATTTATAAAGCGTGTTTGGAGTATATCCTAAAGTTTGTGGAAGCCTCAGAAATTAGAAAGTTTAAACCACCTCTCTGTGTGCTCAAAAACAATTCGTTATCACATTAAATCTCTCTCTCTTGACAAACTTCACTTCGATACCAAAACAGAGGTCCTATCACCTCCTTTCTTTGGTTTATTGATCTCTATTGTTATTTTGACCTTCAATATGGCCTTCCAACTTGACCTAAGTCTATTATCTCACCCCATGACGCTTTATTATGTTCATATATATTCATATGGCAAGTACCTGTGTGGTTAGATTGTTTGAAGTAAGCTGTGCAAATGCATTACATGATTCAGATGAATTATGTCTTCTCATTACTTCGTCGAAAGTAGTCATTTGTTTAAGTCAGTCTTACTTTTCCCGTTGATTGAATGGATGGTAATGCTACTTGATGAATGGTGACTAGCAGTGGAATTCACAATACACATTTCGCCCTTTTTAGGACTCTTCAGTTGTGTGTACCTGCAATCCCCACTGAGTCTCAAACCTAGCACCCATCGTCTCAAATGCCACTCAACGACCTCAGTAATTTAGTGGATAACGCTTTGGCGTTTGAGACAGTCTCAGTGGGAACACTACAACTCATTGGGGATCGCAAGTACATCCAGATGACGAGTTCCAAATAGGACAAAGTGTGCGATCCACTGGATTCCACTGCTAGTGTCTCAATCTACCAAAAAGAAAACGAAAAAGTAAACTTATTATAGCATGGCTCTTTGAGTAAACCTGCTACGAGAAACGTTCAACCTTGGCTTCACACTTATAATCAGTAATTGTTGGACAAAGAATGTAACCACATAATAAAACCAATATTTTCTGTTAAGCTTAAAACTTTGTTGTTCGTGATTGATGGAGAAATTTGAGGGTAGCCTCATTTCAACTACAGGCAAACGGTACGGATCAAGATATCAAAGGCAGGCAGGATCGGAGAAGCAAAAACGACATTCATTGTTCTAAAATCACTGTGGCAACCTACCATACTCAGCACAAAGAACAAGATTCGGATTTTCAACACTAATGTTAAGTAAGTTCTCCTGCATGAGTCAGAGACTTGTCATGAGCGTCACGAAAAGCATTTCTATTCCAACAGGCTACTGCAAATTTCTACCAACAGTTGTCTTTACAGGCTCTATATCAACGATCAGATGGCTGGTTGGAAAGGATAGGCAACATGAAACTCTGGAAACGAACCAACCAAGAACCTACTACTCAATAAATATGGAGAAAGAAATGGGGATGGATTGAACATACGTTGCAAAGACCGCTGAGTGACATTACACTCCAGTAAGCCCTTGAATGGCACCCAACTGAGAAAGGACGAGTTGGGGGTCGATTCAAGGATGACATGGTGGAGATAATGTGAGGAGGAGCAGGCGGAGATGAAAGCTTATGAGCTACCGCAGAGGCAGATGAAGGTGACTCTGGAGAACAGGGTGCAATGAAGATGAGCTACTAAAGCCTGATGTTCTACTCGGAACCCAAAAGAGCAACAATTATAATAACAAATTATCATCAAGAACTTATTTATTTATAAGTCCATTTCATCTATTGGTAATGATGTGAAATCCAGCTACCCTTATCCAATTGATAGCTGCTACCTTGACATGGTGGTCGGCTTTGCATATCGCAACGACCTACATTGGTTGGAGCTAACGTTACTGCAGGCCTATTTTAAAACAACTTCAAAACGAAGCTGCACGTCTCTTTCGTCCTACGAAACTGTAAAACACAAAAGTCGTGATTGAAAAAGAGTGAGTAGGTGTAAGGAAATAGATACATCTTAAACCAACTATTCATGAAATGTTGCTTCGTACAAGAGGATTATTAAAAGACTGATCCGTATACGACAGCAAAAAAAGGCAAACTCTGACACTGAAGTATAACAAGAAATGTAAGCTCCATAAAACGGTTTAAAAGTGTAGACTGATTACCCACCCAACCAGCAAAATAATTTCAAGACGACATCACAATAATCTCTCTAGAATGAAACGAATCATTCGCAAAATATTTTCCATCAAAGCCAATATCTTGAAGGAATTTTTGTAAGATAAAGTCACCCATTTTGAATTTTGATTGGATGCTTCCATATGAAGAAAAGTCTAGCTGAATTATTTTTCCTTGTTATTTTAGATGAGAGACATCGGTGGTTCAGTGGTAAAACGTTCACCAACTACGCCTCACGTGGTCCAAGGTTTGATCTTCAGCCAACGCACTCCTAAACCTGGCTAAGCCGGTAGTAAGGCCGGTTAGAACAGGGAAGGTTGGACGTAAAAAAAAGCACTGCTATCGAGACTTCAAAGCTCTAGCTTGAAGCCCTATTTTCCAGTCGGAATGTAGAGAAATAAATAAAATGTGAGAAAAACTTTAGATGCGAACAAATTAGTCCGGTAATACAGAGAAATTAACCCGATGGTCGGTATAAGGGAGGGTTTAACTTACAAAACAACAACTAAAGGCTTAGGGACAAAACTTCTGCAAGACAATTTGGGTGAGTTAGTTCTGCTTTGGATGTTTATTATGCCTTAGTTATTGTTCTAATAATAATAAATTAGCCGTATCAATTTCAATTCTTGTTGCCAAGGAAGTGATTTATCAATTTTTATAAAGATAACCACTTAATGAAAAGATTATATAACTCTATGGAAAACATAGCTAAAAATAAGAAAACGTCGGTAAACACCCACAATCGCTCAACTCACAAATAGAAGAAGAGGTTTGACTGTTTATTTATTTCTAATGGAATACAAATTATGCTGATAGAATTCCTAGATATTGCTAATATTCATTCAAAAGTTCACACAACTCTACGTAGACCACAATTAATACCTTTTTTTCTGACAAGAACTCAAGTTTCAAATGAATTTATTTCTCAAGAAGTCATCAGGCCTGCCGATGAGATGTTCACTGTCATATATGAAAACTTAAATAAAATACCACAGTTTGCAAACAACCTTGTCTATTTTTCAAGACAATACCTCGACACCTACACGGCCAGATTTCTTGAAAGCGCGCTTACTGAATTAGTACTTTAATCTTGGAACCACTCCAGAATGTTCGGCTATTTTAGCGTGAAGAGTTTCAGACCGCATGCAATATTTTACGTGAGGCTTCACGTAGTAAATATAACATATGGAGTAATTCAGCCGCAACAAGGTGCTTTCGACATCACATCTCTGCTAACAATGATTTCGAAGTCCATCTGCTCAGTAATACAAAATGACATTCAGACTCAAACTGATTGCTGACACAAGACACACACACAAGTAGTCACTTGACAAACTTCGCACATTGAATTTTACCACAAAAATGAACAAGCCTCTTCAGCAGTTCAACATAAGACATCTTCACGAAGGCGATATCAAAATCAATAGACCATGTTCCGTAGCAGCTTACTATCGCTATCCTATGCACATTATCTACTAGAAAAAAATTTCGTTAAAAGGGAGAGTTCAGGTCGAAAAGTGTCTTTTGTGGTAGTAAGTTGTTTTCGCACACAGATAAGCAGCCCAAAACGAAACTCTAGCGACCAATCAGATGCGCTAGAAGTAGAAGTGCGTAATTTGAAATAAACGTCTATACACAAGTAATGAAATGCTAAATACTGGCTACACAGGATAGTATTATTCTATATGCTCCAAAGAAACATCCCAATTTCTTACAGCTGAAAAACGAGTCTACCTGGTGAACGCATTGATGACCTTGGTGTTTATATACAGAAAATGGTTTAACCTGACAAAGAGGACTCCTGTAAGAAATTGGGATGTTTCTTTGGAACATATAGAATAATACTATCCTATGTAGCCAGTATTTAACATTGCATTACTTGTGTATAGACGTTTATTTCAAATTACGCAATTTTACTTCTAGCGCGTCTGATTGGTCACTAGAGATAGTTTTGTTTTGGGCTGCTACGGTTTAGAGTCATGATAACAAACAAAACAAGAACCAATCGCCGCCCAACAAATATGCAGGAGAAAGTGGAGATGGATTGGACACTCGCGGCTGAGGAGGCCGCTGGGTGACATCGCGCGTCAGGCCATTGCTCGAGTGGAGCCCGAAAGGGAGGCGGCGAGTGGGACGTCAGTCCAAGGGTGACATGGAGGAGATCGTGTGAAGAGCAGTTGAAGCAGTATGGACTAACATGGATGAAGGTGAAAAGCACAGCAGAAGACAGAAGCAAGTGGAGACATGGAGTTGAAGTCCTATGTTCCACTAGGAACCCAAAGGAACAATAATAATAATAGCTTAGAGTCACCACTTTTGGGTCTATTGTTTACTCTTTCCCCATAAACTGTTTTGATTGTTCCTCTTCACCAATCGCTGAATAGCACGCGCACAGAATCCATAGGAAGATTCTTGGGGCATTGGAAATAAATCAGGATTCTAGCGATAAATAGGTCACGGGATGGAATACAAATTACAAATCAGGAGATACTCCTGACATATAAAAAGGTTACCATCCTGTATTATTACTTTAGCGAATTTACAGCCACCTCGGAGAAACTAATAATAATTCAAATTTAATGAAAGTCATGGAGTTATCAGTAAAAAAGATGACCACAGGCATGGCGTTCTGGGATCTGTTTATAATTCTGATTCTGTTTATGAACAGACTATTGAATAAAATTCGCCCAAGAATACATATCCTGCTAGAAAGCCAGCTATTGTGCAAAGATTCCTCTTATATGGAAATTTTAATTAATCCATCCGGATGGCTGCGACAGTCTAACTTCCCCATTACTTTGATTCAGATTCAGATGATAGGAATAGAATGCTCCTGCTGCCTATGTTAATCCTTGCGATATATATCTCTGCAGAGATCCGGTTTCTCTTGAAAGCGTTCACCTATGGAGTTGAAACCCCTGGACCAGCCATTGACGACTCTCAGAGAGGATCTAAATTCCGCACCTTTTTTTATTCTACCTCGCTTTGAGCACCTAGTTAATATGTAACCCATAACATTTCCTATCTTAATAACACCTCTTAATCGTTTAGTTGGGTCATAGTACTTAAGCCTAGACTTTAAAAAACAGTAATTCAAATGTAATCCAAGTTTAGTAACATACGTTCTGACAACAGTAACAATAGATATAGGCAGATTTTGATTGGCTGTTGGCTAGCTGGCTTCCTATTGGTCTAAAATATAAGTTAAAGCGGTAATCTTTTTATTTTTACACGGAAATTTACAGTCAGTATAATTTAGGGCTTACCTTACTATAATATAATGGCGTGTTAATTTTTTTGGTGAGTGTAGTGTGACAGCCACACGCTATTTAGATGCATTGTTGACGTTTAAAGTATATTGAGATGTATGAGAATCCCTAGTAAGTGAATATAAATCAACAATAATTTTGATGCATTTATTTTAAGTCCAAAATAGGATGTATGCATTTTTGATTACCAGGAGAATATAATTTAACTACAATTTCTAAAAACTTAATGTCCTTAATTAGTACATATAGATAAATGTATGTGTTAAATAATCTACTTTTTTAAGTTGTCAATCCAATGACCTGTGGGATTTCTACATACTACGTCAGAATAAATCACGTAAATTTCCCTTCAAACGGCTGAGAGCGACAGTTTAATGCATACCTTGGTTGAATGCTTCGTGATGAGAGCGATTTGGAGTCCGTTATAAATTACACCGATCTGTGTCTTATTTACTACGTTTTTCAGCTGAGCATTTCCGGTTCATAGCATATCCTGAATAACGGTGATTAATACGATTTATCACTTAGACGCAGCACCACCAAGCTTACAACAATTCTAAGCTTATTCTAACCTATTCCTCGATAATGCCTTTGTATGGTAACCGAAGATCATATTTACCCACTATGTTCTGAAATGACACAGGTCGTGCTTAAAAAGAAAGCTGCGTGCTGAATCAAAACTTCCCGCAGTGGAGTAACGCTAGTCCATGCTTAATATGTCCTGTGAGGGCTGGAACAACGTTGATAAGCAAACCCAGTAGGTTCGATTTAGTGCCGCTCATGCTGAAAAACCAGCGCACAGTTTCACTGTCACATTATGGCAAAACAGTAAGGGATCCTTACTCGAGTTTACTGATACTATTATTAGCATAGTCTATGTTACTATATTAGCGTAGTAAACGCTAATTAGCTCAATGATTGCAGGTTTACCATAATCCTTGACTACTAACGTAATAACTGAGAACTTCAGGCTAAAAATAAGCTAAATAGTAGCATGCAGTGACCAAAACTAGCTTATACGCTGCAAATGAGAAAAATATCTAGAAAAACCTTTAACATTCAATGGAAAACGAATTCGCGAAAACATATAACCAGCCAACGCAGGAACTCATCGTGACCTAGAAACTGACTGTAGCCTCTTTCTTCCAACAATAAATCTGGTTGACCTTGAGGATTTAATTTACCCCCTACTCCAACAACATCCAATATCCAATATCGTTTTTACGAGCTAGTATAAACCAATTTGATTTCTTTGTGCTCGCTTCTTGATTGTAAGGTATAGGTTCGTGATCTTCGGTAAACTTCTGCGTAGCTTGTCCCAACACTCGACTGTCGTAGCTTTGGTTGAATCCAAAGGGAGTAGTGCTGGGATTAATTATATGTGGTTTGTAGTATGAGGTATGTTAAGACTGTTACTACTGTGATTGGAGTTGATCCTTTCGCCAGTTAGTCCTTCGGTATCGTCGACAAGAGAAAAGAGATAGTAATAATAATAGTAATAACAATAGATATAATTAGTGAAGTTATTCAGACTAAGAGAGTGAAGTGCAACCTATTTCTACTCTTCAAAGTCATTAGGAAACATTGCTACAGTAACTCATCCATAACGTGGGAAAATATTAAATCATATCAGCTGCGAAACCACGACTACCTTTTCAAGGTGGCTACCCACAGAAAATCCATTAGGGCAAACTTTTTCACCATAAAATATTGCACTCTTTGGAACCAACTACCACCTGAAATAAGATGTTGTGAAAACCCTGATGGGTTCAAGCGGAGCCTGGAAAGACACTTTAACATGTCCACCCTAGCTCGTCTAAAAGACCACAACTGTTGGTAGAACGGAAATTGAAGACCAGTCCAGTCTTCAGTATAGTCACATACGTATACCTCGACTCTAATACTCACGCAGCGAACGTTAACTAATTTACTGATTTCTATTCTCTATAATTTTCACTAAGTTGTGTTGGTAAAAGTAACACTGGAAATAATTGTAATAGCATCCCCACCTTTTAACGTTTTACATATGTATATACTAATATAATAATACTTATTAATCATGCATGTTCAATTCTTAAATTAGATGGTTATTAAAATACTTAAAATATTAATGCATCAAATGTTCTCTTGCTTTACCACGCTTGTTTCCCTTATAACACTCAATTATTGAGCCTAGCGTATTACTTGATATACGAATTATATTATTGATTATACTCTTATCATATATGGTTTGATTTACTCTTCGGCTCCCTGTAGACTAACCACCATTCTTCAGTATACACACACTACAGTATTGTTAAAAAATGCCAAAATTTTGTTGGTTCTGTGTTAATATCTTTTCATAATATGTCTAGATACGTTACTTTGCAATGTCAAATGTTTACTATATATAAGTACACTAAGTCCTGCCAACCGACCTTACCTTCAGTCCATACTACCTAAATTGAACCTTAACTACAGTGTTCTGCTAAATCTTGCTCCACCATTCACAATACCTATTCGTTTCACTCTTTAAGGTTTTAACTTCTTATAAAGTAATCTGTTCATTAGGATGCATGCACACATATATAATATGTTCATAAAGATGTATGTGGAGACCTATTGGAAGCACTCATTAAGAAAGCTAGGGAGATGGAATATGAGGTACGAACATGTCTGGTACCAAGCAATATATTTGCGGTAGCCATAATAATCATAGTCTCAGAGCCTAGCATCATAAAAGGAGGGAGGGTGGTGCTAGCTGATCAGTAGATATGGTGGTGGTCAATAAGATCAATCCCCCCATTTTGCAGGAACAGCAATACGCAATTTGAAGGCTCGAGATATTTCTGATTCTTATGAGGGCCTAGATCTTTATCTTGAAAAACATAACAGTGAACGCCTTGACAGATAATGCTTCTACCTTTAAATGTATACCATTCGCTCAGCCTATTGTTGAGATGCGACCGCGTGGGATCTGCACAGATTTATGGGGCATCTTATAAATTAACTTGCTATCCATTGTCGGATCGTTAAATACCACTTCACAATGTCTCATCTCATTCATCTTCTAATGACGTCTTTACTTGATCCTCATCACATTTCATTAAAGCTAACATTTATAGCTCTTTATGAATTCAATTCTACTTATACTATTCCTGTTCTCTGTAGGGTACGGTTGTGCACCAAATCGACAAAAAGACAAGAAATAAAAACGACTGGCTTGAAAATAATTGTATTAAAGCCAAAAGTTGACATCATGATAGTACAAAATATATTGGTTCTATTATACATTGCAAATGAACGTTGTCGGCCTAAGGATTAATTACTTCCCCATTCTGTTTTCTGTATAAATATATTAATGATATATTTCACTCACTTAATCTATTACACTTTAATGTTTCACCTTATCACTTTAGCCTTTCTGAAACAGCTTTTAATCCCTTGTAAACGTTGTACTTACCTCAATATTGGTTGGTTATCGTATGCAGACAACCACGGGATGAAAACGAAACGAAGTAGATTTTCCCGCGAAACCTGGAGGACAACTGTACAATTCAATAACTATACAGCCTAGTTCAGACAATGTGTATTTATATATATATCAAATATTTAACTGTTGAAACATTATTAACTTGTAGACAATCTACGATTTGATATTATATCATACTTGATCGTGCCTGTAAAAATGGCATGCATTTTCATGTAAATTTATGTTTATATGAGAATATACATTATTATTATTATTATAGAAACGGAAATAGGAAACGTAACAACAGTCAGCTCATTAAGTTTGAAGAATAATATATATCGGTAATAATAATAATAATAGTAATTATAATATTAATAAGTTGTCAGGAGAGTAAGACGGGAGAGAATGTAAAGAAGTAAAATGACGAGTTTAATTATCTACCCTGATTGGTAAATGCGATTTTAAGGAGATAGGCCATTTGGATGCAGTCCTTGTATCGCTGCATGGTTGTCCAGCCTTCGCTTAAAGGCGTCCAAAGACGGTGCCATAGCTACATCTGCCGGTAAGGAATTCCAGGGACGACAAACCCGCAGTGAAAAGAAGTGGGAGCGCACCCGGGTCCTTGCCCTCTGGTGAGCTATCCTTCTGGGATTTCCACGTGGAAGCCTATACCTACTCAATGGCAGAACACCTTTGTTTGGGTGATTCTGGTCATTTGTTATTTTGTAGGCAGTAATCAAATCCCCCCTAAGCCGACGGTAACTAAGTGTGAACAGGCCTAATTTCTTCAGCCTTTCATCATATGGTTTGTTTCGGAGACCAACCACTCCTTTTGTTGCCCGTCGTTGGACTCTTTCCAAGAGGTTGGCATCTCTTCTCAGCATTGGGGGTGCAATAATATTATGCACCTCAAGGTGTGGCCTGACGTATGTTTTGTACAACATTAGAAAGAGCTCAGGAGTGAGTGCACCTAACTGTCTATGCGTAAAGTGTATGACCGCATATGCCCTCGCTACATCCCCTGTGTAATTTACGCTTGTGTCCATTTTTTCCGTTAGAACTAGACCTAAGTCGCGTTCCGACGTTGTGCAGGACAAGCTTTCATTGCACAGGGTGTAACTTGCATTCTGCAGTCTACAGGTGCGCAACTTCACTACTTTGCACTTTTTCAAGTTGAAAGTCATGCCACTGGCCACCGCCCAGTCTTCCAGAAGGTTTAGGTCTTCCTGTAGCCTATCTGAGTCCTCCGGACACTTTATCGCCCTCCATATTTTTACGTCGTCAGCGTACAGGAGAGTCGGGCAGCTCAGACGGCGTGGTAGATCATTGATGAAAATCAAAAACATCAGTGGTCCTAGGATAGAACCCTGCGACACTCCTGATGACGATCTGTGCCAAGATGATCGGACTCGGTTAACCTTAGTGCAAAATTGCCTGTCGGCTAGGTAGTCCTTCAACCATGACAGAAGTGGCTCACCTATGCCTGCCTGGCTTATTTTATGTAGGAGAAGGTCATGGTGAACAGTGTCAAATGCCTTCTCAAAGTCTAGGAAGACCACATGGACTGGTACGTTCAAGTCCCAGCATGATGTCCAGTCGTCCCAAGCTGACAGTAGGTTAGTGACGCAGGATCTGCCTTTTCTGAAACCATGTTGGGCTTCATGTAGTATATTAGTCCTATCGAAATATTCCCTGATGTGGTCGTCAATAATACTTTCCAGTACTTTTGATACCACTGGGAGTAGAGCTACTGGTCTATAGCTAGCAGCGTTTTGCCTGTCCCCACCCTTGAAGATTGGAGAAAGGATGGCTCTTTTCCACTCCCTTGGCAGGGTCCCCGAATCCATTGAGTGTTGGAACAAGTCGCACAGGGGTCTACAGAGAGCCTCGGCGCACTGTTTCAGAACAGATGGCCTGATGTCATCACAACCTGGGGACTTCCCAGGTATGAGTCGCTGTAGCTTCCTTAGTACTATTGCGGGGTTTATTTGGGGAGTAGTCGCTAGGTCTTCCTCCTCTGAAATAGTGGTGCCACCATTTTGGTCCGTAACTGTAATATCCACATTGCTGTTTAGCTGTTTAGCGAAGGCTGAACTGAATGTTTCAGCCATCTCCAGACTAGTGAGATATTGACCGTTTGGGCCTACTAAGGCGCATGCCCCTTGGTTTGTCGGTTTTCTTTCCGACATGAATCGGTACAAGTTTTTAGGGTTTGATAGGAGTTTTTTAGCAAGGTTAGCCTGGAATGACCTTCTGTCCCTCCTGACTCTTGCATTACACCGGTTCCTGAGTTCGAGGTATGCATCATGGTCGGTCTGACTCTTAGATACACGCCACGTAAACCAAGCCTTCCGCTTTGCTTGCAGAATACGTTGCGTGCCTCTCTTCAACCATGACGTCTTTCTCTTAGGCTGTGTTGTGACTAAAGGGACGGTATCCGAGATTGCTGTATGGATAATCTTTTTTACCACTTCCCAGTGTTCATCCACAGATAGGTCGTCCCATGCTAAGGGCCAGTCTGCGTCGGACAAGAGCCTCCGCATTTCAGCATAGTCAGCCTTGCTGTAGCACAGACATGGTCGCGTAACATCCCATTGCAAACGCTCACGGAGGACAAGATCGAAACCTATGACTGCATGGTCACTGCTTCCCAGAGGAGTCATGATCTGGACCTTTTCGACGAGTAGCTGGTCACTAGTTAGAATATAATCTAGTTTTGATGACTTTCCACTAGGGCCCCACCTAGTGTCG